ACCATTGAGACGTGTGGGACAACCATTAGATATCGCCAAAGGAGTGATATTCCTGGCCTCAAGTGATGCCTCATTCATAACCGGCGCTAATCTGGTGGTCGATGGCGGGGAGGTCTATAATATTGGAGCATTTAATATTCTATAAATCTATTTATTCTGGTATAAATTTATTTTGAAAAAGATCTATAAATTTTTATTTGTTGATAATGATCGATATAATTCAAACCTAAATTATCTATAAATATATTAAGTTTTTATTCAATTAGTTTACACTAACTTTTAAATGATTTCTTTCTATTATAACTACAGTATATTCAATCAAATAATGGTTTTTATTTGTTTGCAAAATTATTATTATTATTATAAAACCCAACTACTAATAATAAAATAATCTTAAAACTATGAATCAATAAATATAACTTTAAATAAATTATCAGGGCCAAAGCTATGAATATGGGCAAACATTATCACCAAATTGTTAACAAATCACTTTTCGTTATAATATTATATATATCAATAATAAGTTAATTTGCCAAGCTGAAGTTAATAGTATTATTGGTATTGATTTCGATGTAAACTAGTAGTCACTGGGACTCGAACTCCGGAGTCCGGACCCTACGACCCATAAAACAAGTACTTCTCAACTACTATACATTGCCTCACAAATAATTGTTTTAAAAAAATTAAATAGAAAATAAAAATTAGAATTTATTAACTTTTAATTATTAAATGTATTTATTAAATTAGTATTAACAAATAAAGATTAATGTCATTTTGATTAGTTAATTAACATTTGTTATTAATTACCTTAATATTGCTTCATTTCAATCCCAATGTTCAGGTGTATTGAATGTATTGCACTAATATGAGATGATATGATACAAACTAGATAATTAGTCCATAACTTAAAGGTTATCTATACTAAAGATGTACTACATAATGAAATTGGATTACGTTTATTATTTCATATTAGTGTTGCAATTTAATTGGTTAATTAACTATTAATTAAGTGTAACATAACGTACATTGGTAAAAGTTTGAATATACCAGTCTGGTTAATAATGTTTGAGTGATTAGTGATTAATTAATACAAGAAAAATTTATTATAAATTAAATAAATTTAAAAACTCATTCAATTTATTGAGATTTAATGCAAGTCTGGGATCAGGTCTTCGCCATAGACTTGAGAGCAGTCGTCGAACTGATCCACGAATCGGTTCCACATTTGGAGAAAACTAACGGCACTATCATTGATATCTCAAGTAATTTAGGCATAGCTCCGGTATGAAAGATATTTTATTATTATATTTTACTATAAATTAAGTTATGATTATTTTCATAATTATCAATACAATCTCATTAACAGTACAAACCAAGTCTGGCCTACGGAACGGCAAAAGCGGCCTTAGATATGGTGACTCGAGTACTGGCCCTCGAATTGGGACCGAAAGGCATTCGTGTCAATACATTGAAGTAATTTAATAATTTTAAATTATATTGCGTTATAATTATATTTTTTAATTAAAAAGTTATCTAATTTTAAATATAATACTCTGTAGTCCGGGTTCAACACAAACCACTGATAAGTTGGACCCTATATATGAAAAGGCAGAGGATTTCACACCACTTAAGCGATTGGGACAACCATTAGATATCGCCAAAGCCGTGGCATTCCTGGCCTCAAGTGATGCCTCATTCATAACCGGCGCTAATCTGGTGGTCGACGGCGGACTTGTCTATAATATCGGCGCTTTTAATACTTTATAATTTATTAATAATTTATAACAATTTAAAGAAAATATGAGATTTGAGTTTTAAGTGGTTTAATACACAAATGTTTGAGTTATCTTTCAAATGTTTTTCTAACACTTAATTAATTACTACTTTCATAACAACGAGATATTCAATGAATTAATGATTATTTTTAAATTATTTGTTTGGCCGAAAGTCGTTAAATAAAGTAAACTTTGAACGCAAACACATAAACATTCAATGAAAATAAAAGTCTATAAATTTTGGTTTATAAATGGTTTTAAAAATATAATTCACACAAAAACCACAAAAACATGGACTTCGATGTCGAATACGAAAGGTATGTTCCCAAGAGTTTTCCCAAAGACTTGATCCAACAGGCAGTCAATTATAAGCCTATGGATAACGACGTGTTTATCGTCTCGTATCCCAAATGTGGCACAACTTGGACTCAACAGATCCTATACCTACTGCTCAACGATGGTGTTCCGCCTAATAAGACAATCCTAT